CCAAACTGTACATAATATTCATTAAATTTATATACAGAATACACAGCATTAATATTATCTCAGGTGTAGATTACCTGTTTTAAATACAACCAAGGCTTATTCTATATAACGCAATTGCGTAATTTTAGCATACATTTAATCCGAAGCAAAGTATACAGCAGGTATCCTACTCCTCACAGACTCTTTTTTCACTAACTGAGATTATTTTATTTCCTGGAGACATATAACTTATAACGCCTATGCAATTATATTATATATCAGTGATATAAAAGGAGGATATTATTTTTCCTGATAAAATCTAACTTGACCTTTTTTCGACAGTTCTCATTTTTACCAAACGCAAAAAATAACATCTGAAGTGCATAAACGAAAATTTAATTTTTTTTCTCTTAAACTTAAAATGGATTATAAGAAAATTAAGTAAAAAAAGGTAACAAAAATTTAATGATTAATTATTTATTTATAAATTTGAATTATATTTTATTTATTACCTAACCTAACTGAGTATCCTCCTAATCTCATGATTCATGTTATCTTCTTTTATTTGTCATTTTTAAACCTACTCATTGTAAAAAGGATGTGTATAGATTTTAGATTTATTTCAATAAATAAAAAAAAAAAAAAAAAAATTATATTTTATTGAACACAAAATAAACTTAAAAATTATAATGGGACCTTTCGGTACCCATAGTATTTAAACCTGTGTACCACCGCACCTTCTAATCCACCATAATTATTCTCAGCTGAAATATACAAACCACATAAAACAATTATTTTATTATGGGTAATTATTTTAACTTTTGGCACGAAATACGACATCAACTATAAATTTGTACGAAGAGTTTTTAGAGAAACAAATGTGAAATGACATTTGAACTGTTCTAGAAATGTTAATAAATTTAAGTTTATTACATATTAAGATATATAATTTTATATTAAATTCCGATATAAAAAAAAAAAAATAAATAAATAAATAACCTTTTATTAATTTTAATTTAATACCTACGTTTTGTAAAATTTCAATTTTTTTCTATCATTCATTATTATTTTATAATTTTTATAAAATAAATGTTATCACAAAATAGTATTTTCTTATAATACAAAATCATTTTTAATAAAAATTATTTACACGTTAATAATAAATTAAAATTGAATATTGTCGCAAATAATTAAAAATTTTATAAGCTACACCTGTATTCAAAATGTTTAGTGATTATATGCAAAAAAAATAATTTTACTTATAATTTGTTGCTGATGTCCATTTTAGAGCATAAGATTATTATTAAATATTGAATTTAAAAAATGATTATTTAAATTTATTTCTTATACATAAAGTTTTAAAAATACTATGTAATCTTGGTTACATATTTAAAAAATGTAAAATAATTTTCTACGGAGTATAAAACTGAAATCTACTTTATTTTTATCGTGTATATATTTGCAGCAACAATGGTTATTTAAACATATCGACAATGTTTACATGAGCTTATAATTAAAATAGTAGATGAAATATTATTTTATATTTATCATCAGTAGATGTATATATTGTGAATTTATTTTTGTTGTAGTATCCTATTAAGAACTTATAGACTATCAAAATATTATAATTTACATAACTAAATAAACTTAGCATTTATAAAAATATGATTAATAGTTAATATAAAGATCATACTTACCTAAATAATAATTATCTATATATTTTATAAAATTAAAAGTTACTTTGGTAATATTTAATTGATTGTAAAACTAATATTCACTAAAATTTTATTAAGATCTTAGATTTATCATTAAGTAAATTTATAGGTATATATTAAACTAGCATATAATTAATATTTTATCATAGCCGTGTATTGTAATATAATTATTAAGGTATTTTTTTTTAGATAGTGCATTGATTTGCTTTATTTTTTTCTATAATTTAATATACTTGTGAGTATAGTAAATTTCTCAAGTAGACTATTTCATATATTTAGTCTATATTATTACAGACGATGACAAATTAACAAAAGAAATCAAGAAGCAGAATAGGTCAAGCAAAACAAATTTCCCTCAAAGAGTGGAAATTACTAACATAAAAAATCTGTGTATACATACTGAAAAAATGCTCATTAAAACGTACATTTGGAGTATGGCATTATATGGATGCAAGACATGTATGATAAATAAAAAAGAAATGAAGATTTTAGAAACTTTCGAATATTGTGTTGAAAGAAAATTCAAAGAATAAATTGAAATGAAAAAAGCAAACGAAGACGTCTTAAAGACAATAGATGAAAATTAATAGACACTCTAAGGAAAACGAGATGGCAGACGATAGGCAGCACAATGAGGTATGGCGACGAACTACCTACTCAGTTTAATAACTGAAAGAATCACAGAAGGAACACGATCAAGAATAAAAATATATCAGCCAAATAATGAAGGCGCAGAGTCACTTCTTACAGTGAACTTAAGGATCTGGCAAACGATAGAAAAAAACAGAGAAGACATTTGTTGTGAATTAATTTGTTAAAACCAATTTCCGGATTAAAAAATAATAACAACAATAATAATTATAATAATGAGTAAAGACATTTTATTTAAAAATTTCAAGATTTTCTTGAAAAATAATATACATTTTTCAATGTTGACAATCGTGTAATATAATCTACACTCATTTTACAATCTATTACACATACTACACAAAACATTTGGACAATTGAGCTATGTTTACTACTTTAAAATATGTTCATAGGAAAAAAATACACATCGTTGTAAAGTCAATATCATTCTCGCTCCGTTTAAGATTTGAAAATTTTTTTTTTTATAAAAATGTGATCGATGAACCTGACAGCTGGTTTTTTATTTTAAAGCTTTAATGATAGCGTTTATTTTTTTATAAATTCAATAATAAATTTATGTGTTAATAGCTTATATATTTTTTTATTGAGAATTTGATTTTCACAATGAAAAAAAAAATTATAAATGACTTACCTTTGGGCAAGAGATATTTTTAAAAATAATTTTTGTTCTTTTGTAAGTTAGTTATTACAGTGAAAAAATATAAAGTTTATAGCGTGATTGTTTAAAAATATTTGAGAATCTGTGATGTTAAAACAAAGTACATGTGCAAGACAAAAATGTTTAAACGGGTGTTAACAATTAACAATATTTTAAATTCATAACTTTTGGATTATATCACACATTCAAATTGAATTAAATTGAATTTTTAGATAATTATATATAGTTTAATAATTTTAATAATATCTGGTATTCCATCTGATAAGTGCTAAACTGTATAGTATTATACTTAAACTTTAATTAGCTAATTAAATAAGTGTCAGTATTCAATTTTTCAATGTAAAACAAAACGTAATTTTGTATTATATTATTTTGTATTAAATATAATATTCTAGGTAAAAATATTCAAAAAACATAAAAAACTTAATTAACTAGTTTAATATTAGATATATATATATTTAAATATCATAACGTTGAAACTTTTAAGTGTGAACATAAAAGTCAGAGGAGTATATTTAATAAAACCATAATTACATTTTAAGCATTTATAATGAGTATTAATCGTTTTTTTTTTTTTTTTTTTAATGTCTATATAATTTATAGATTTAACGTTTGTGAAATAATATATATTAACCATTCGTTGGTACTTACCAGGCACTAGTTATTCGTATCCAAATTTGATCAACTCTTATGATTAATACCTACCTTTTTTGTCTATGGTACTACACATAATTATTTCATTTAGTTTTCAAATCTTAGGAAGAAATAAAAGAGTTCAATAATTTGTAATTTATCAAAATGTCTATTGCCATAAAAATAAAAGGATTAATGAATTATATATATTCTGTTTTTATAATTGCTAATTGATTTATAACTTATAAGTAAATAAAATTAATTTCAAGTTAATAAAAATATTGGCGAAGACAAAATGTTTGTATACTTTTTATTTTGCCTTTAATAAGATATTGAAATTTAGTTTATTTAATATTTAATTTTTAAATACATAGGGTTGCTTAAGTTTTTTTTTTTTCACAAATGTTTTTATAACTTTTACTCTGAACAATTTCACAACAAAAAATAGTATACACACACACACACACACACACACACACATATATTATATATATATATATATATATATATATATATTGAAATAATTATTAGAAAGTGTGACAAACTTAAGTACTTATAAATGTTAAGTAAGCATAAAGAAAATAAACATATTATAAAGTATTCATAATTCAATAAATAAACACGAAAGCAATTTTTAAACGATTAATCGTATTAACTGAATTTTAAAAACAATTATTGATATTAAATATGAGATTTATTATATTTTAACAAAATATAAACACACCAATATCAATTAAACGTATATTAACAACGAAAAGTGGCTATACTTTAAAATATCTTATTTTTAACAAATACATTCGATAATATTTATTAATAATAACAATATCATACATATTTCCATATCTTTAAATAAAGTATAGTTATTGAAAGTATTTCTTAAAAAAAACTAAAAATGTGTATTCCACAGTATTATAATTAGTTTTTAATACATTGAAGAAATTATAGTATTATAGCTTTATTTCCTTTTTAAATCCAAATTTCAAAATTAAAAATGTGCAAACAAGCGACAAAGCAAAATAAGACGCTAATGGATTATTAAATATTAAATATCTTTTCAAAGTTCAACGTGAAGTTCCAAACTGATTTTATACAGCAAAATGTTATATTGCTATTAAATTAGTTACACAATCTATGTAATATATTTATAATTAATGTATATTAATCACATATATAAAGTCATAAGTATGTACAACAATTTTTTAAATTATATATTTCGTACATATCTACAAAATTCGTTTAATAATAATATGCATCGCTTTGTTGTATTTGTAAATAATCATTTTATTTGTTAACACTTAATCTAATCTAAAAATTTCAAAAGATGAAAAAAAAAAAATAAACAAAATTATAATAATAAGTAACACACAATGGAATTTACTTCATTTTTGAAAAAAATATACATCAACCTGATTGTATCGTTTTTCTAATTATGTCATTTAATAATTTCTTTTTACCTCTTCCATATTACTCAACGTGTTAATTTTTGTTTTTTTTTTTTTTTACAATTTAAACTTATTTACATGTACAAGTGTGAAGTACAAGAATTTTAAGATATATTTATTTATGTATATTTATTTATGTATATATATATATATATATATATTTCCACATTTCGACTATCTGAATACATTCCATAGCAAGACTGATGCAGCGATTATCGTTGAATGGTTGATAGAAGGCGTAACCTGACATCCAAAACTCGGAGACGTAACTGAAATGAAAAAAAAAAAATTAAATAATTAAATGCAAATTATGATAATTATTGCATTAACATGAACCCTAAAAAAGTTGTATACGTCGTGTAATTAATTGTTTTAAAAGTTAAATTATTAGTTTATTTTTAATGCAATTAGTGTAGATTTATATTAAATAATTCGAAATTGTTTGTTATTGTTTTTCAAAATAGGAATGTAGTGCCAGCTTGAACTTTAAATTTTTATTTAAAAATTATAAGGACAATATCCTTTTAAAATTTGATGTACAAAGTATAATTACTAATCAGTATCTCAGTAAGGAGTAAAAACCATTTTAGTATTTAATTTAAAATACTTTTCTTATCGCATATCAATAATTCTTGTTAAAAAATTATCATTCAAATAATCAGTTATCATACTTAGCAAGATTTAAATTAAAAAAAAGAAAATGTAACTTCTTTACTGTAACAGTAAGTATTGAGTGTACTTTGTCGATAATGTAATATTACTTACTTATCTATTTATAAGTAGGTATTTAAAACTACTGTAAGAAATTAATTATTTAGTATTCTTATATTCATAACTTGTTCACCATAAATTATCAATAAAATATTCTATAAAATTAAAATGAAAAAAAAAAATACGACAAAAATAATTTTAAAAATAACAATTTTTTTTAGATTTTTAACGCTTAGATAAAATTATGCTTTCTCGGATGCTTTATAATATTTTCTGTAGACTATTTGTAGGTGTGTACATTTTGCTTACCTAGTTTATCTCTTACATAAAGAAAAACTACAACGCAAATAAATTAAATTACTTTTCCAAGTACAAATAACTGTAAATTCGATTTCAAATTGAGATATATATATATATATATATATATATATATATATATTAAATACTATATTAAGCTCTATGTAACGCCAGGCAATCCACAAAGAAACAAAAAATTTATTAAAACCGATGCTAAAACAAGAATTTCAAACTGAATCCAAAAAAAATAACCATTAACTGCAAATGTTGTTTATTTTCTATGGAAATAATACTACAATATGTTTTAATTTGTTTTAAGTTTTAAATAAAAATCATCATGTATACAGAAATAATACATTAAATATAACTGTAGTAATAATAATTTGAAAATAAAAACATTCGAGTAATTATTATACCGAGTTCTATTTATATTCGTTTTTTGAATGTAATAACTTATCATTGCTATCAAATATATATATTTATTATTCAGTACTATTTTTTGCGCTGACATGTTGGAATATAAACCTGTGCTTAAATTTCTGATTTTAAGACAATTTATTTATTTTAATTAATTTATGGTAAAAAAATTAAATTTTTTATTGTTTTTAAGTTAAACTATTAAACTATAATTTTTAAACATTAACTTAAATTGTAAATTTATCATTTTTTATATATTGACTTAGATGCGTTATATATGAGATGGATATAGTAAATAATTTATATGTATTTATAATATAATAATGTGTTTACGTAAACTTAAAATAATAAAAAAGATATTTAATTTTTTTTCTTTTATTTAACAATGTTCAAACAATGCAAATTACACAATATTACTATTAATAAGATTATTATTTTAATTAACATTTTTCATCTTACATTGATTTAATGACATTTGAGAGGTCACGCTATTGATTACAAGAATACTAGTATTTATAATCGATGATCATACCTCTGTCTTATGCATCAAATAAATGTTATGTTTTATAAAGTTTAACCTTGTATACTTTAAAAATGGCAATAGCCAAATGAACATATTCGTTAGTAACTCATACGTTCATTGTTTTTTCGTATAATATAATATTATTTATAGTATTTTTTAATCGTACAATTTCATTATCCAAATAGTTTTATTTTGATATTATATTATATAATTAAGAGTTTGTAAATTTACAACTACTAAATAACATATATATTTAAATTAAAATTTCATAGTTTTTAAATTAATAAACAAAAATTTATTGATGTATTCAAGAATTAAGAATAATTGTAATTTTTAGTATTATGTTGTTAAGTAAACACTTAATTAGTAAAAGTAAAGAGTAAATTGAAGTTAATTTCGAAGTTTAGATGGTTTAATTGTTTGTATAATTTGATATATTATATTATTAGAAGAAATGCATATTATACGCATAAAGTTTTAAGTGAAATTCATTTACAATAATAAATCATAGTCATATTTTGCATTAAAAACTTTTTAAGCTTTTCAAAAAAAAAAAATGTCTACTTGCGATTTTTTTTTTTTATATAAATCAAATTATGATGTCCAACAAACATGAACAATTTTATTTTAATTCTAAAAATTGTTTAATTTATAGCATATACATTAAATAATTTATAGTTCTTCACAGAGAACTTATAAATGAATACTTTTTTTTAAACATTTTATACCACGAAAATTATAAAATTAAGATATAAATCATAAACCTGAGTTTGAAGCATATATTATTTATATTTTTTATCGTTTTTATAATTATGAAGAAATTCTAAAAAATAATTTTTTATGTCTATATTTTGTACATAATATATATTAATTGTGTTAATTTTATATTTTAAAACATGAAGAATTCAATACCTATATAATTTATAATTTAAAATTTAAGATGTATTAAAAATAATTAATTTAAAAAAAAAACTAAATTGACTTCTTTAAAATAGTAAAATCTATGAATTTTAATTTGAATATTTTATCAAAAACTAAAATTAAATAAACATGTATAATTTACAATTTACCAGAATACATACAGATAAAAAATTAAACGATAGAAGATAGACAGAAGAAATACAATAAATTCTACGAAAACTAATGGAAATACAATTTTTAGGAACCCATTAGACTCAATATTGAATGTTTGTGAAACATTTTAAATACCCATAACATTATCGATGATAAGTATAGAAAAATAAAAAATGTAATCTCTTAAAAGTTCTAAAATTAACTCTTGGTTAGTAATCATACCGCTGTTATAATCTATATTTTTAGTTAAATAATCAAGTTTTATAGATTATAAATTATAAATGGTAAAGAGTGGTACAATAATATTGAAGATATAAGGTTTATAATTTTCTTATTTTTCAACACACTTTTTGGACAAGTGAGAGTTTAAATGTATTGTTTGTAATGATTTTGAATTCCATTATATTTATCATTTTGAGAAACAACGATTTAGCACATCCATTGCAGCGATTTTCTCATTGATAAGTTACGCTTTAAACCTATTAAACAGCAGATAAACTTCTTTGATTTTTTTTTTTGTATAAAATAATATAACACACGTCATAAAATAAAATATTGATCATTAAGCGATTCTAAAAATATACTAATCTCAGTATAAAATAATCAAAATAATGAAATATATTACAAACAATAACTTTAGGTGTTTAAAAAATAACAAATTCTATATTAATGATTTAAAAAAATAAATAATCATAATAAATAACACCAAAATATTATTCCTCCAAATAAAAAACATCTGTTATTGCTCAAAATAAAAATAAAAACAAAATTTTACAAATAATTTATTCAGTTATTGTCTTGATATGGTACTATGCCCAACATTATAATGCACTTTTGTATGTAAAATGTATATAAAGTACTCAACTTACTAATACACAACTTTTAGCACAACAATATTTATTGTTTTGTTGTATTAACATCTGTTACTCATTCTCATTCAATACAATTTGTTTACATTCACTTTTTCAGAACATTAGTAGACCACCATTCATTTATTAACAACATTTTTTTTTCCAGTTTTTGTACATATTTTAGAAGTTTTTTGTATTGATAAAAAGAAATATGGTCAGAATCGATGTTTAATATTACGATTAATTAATTAATTTGTTTGATAAAAGTGAAGGTGTTGTAGAAACTAATTTTATTTTAAATTATTTTAATTTTAAAAATTCCTTATCATTTAATATATTAATCTGTAATATTAAGATAGAATTAAATTTGTTATCTTACTTTTTTTTAAATTTACTTTAATTCGTAACTCATTCTCAGTATCTAGTTTATTATCTTTACTAACTTTTATAGCATTATCTATTAAAATGTTCAACAAAGTTTTATAAAAGCTACTTTATAATTAAAACAAAATATATAGTGTTATATTAGTGTGGAAATTTAACAAATACAATTTTATAGGATGGGTTAGTATTCCATGACTAATATTAATATTTAATAATCGTATATATTTATACAAAGTTAATAAGGTGTATATCTAAAATTAAAATTAAATTTAATATTTAAAAAAATATGTGAGAAACAACTGGCATTAAATAACTTTAAAAATTAATAATTATGTTTAAGTTGCACTAATACATCTAAGTGTAATTTAGAATACTTTTAGTAAGAACTATAAAAATGTTCTTTTTAGTTGTGGTAAAAACAAGAATTAAATAAACCGATATAATTTTCTCTAAAATATTTTATTTAGGTACCTATTTTATCAGATATAATGATGTTCCATAAATTTGATGTAATGAATACTTTTCACAAGAAATAAGTTTGATACCTGAGATTATAGTTTAATTAAGTAGTGATTCATCGTGAGTGTCCATTGATAAAACCTAGTATAAGTTTTGAAATATGGAACTAAAATAAACTTCATGTAATTTAATTAGAGCAAGTTTTATAAAAGAACATTTAAACAAATTAGCTTTAATAAAAAAATTATTTTTGAAATACAAATATCGATGAGATTTTAAGAATAAAAAAATAAAAGATCTTTTATTGTTAATTTAAAATATAAGATTTTTACCTTTTTTTCTGATTAATTTCATGTAAAGACTTACAAAAATAACTAAATTTTCCTTTATTCAATCATATACAAAAAAAAAAAGTGAATCGTAAATATTTATCTACTACCATAACTCACCAAAACATATCTGTAATTCATTGTTTTTAGTGCTGGGGAGAAAATTTCTAGTCATTTAGCATGTGTATACAAAATATAATTTTTTTTTTTTTTTTTATTCATAACTTAATTGGAAAGTTTGAAAAAACAGATAAGAAACGGAAACTAAAGTCATTAAACAGAAAATTATGTGTGTGTCCAGTGTAAGGAATATCACATCAGCCAATGTTAAAGATTCATATTACATTGAAATATTAGATAGGTAAATATGGTAGAGGATGTTTATATATTCGAAATTGTATCCCTTCCCTCTCCTCCTTACAAAAATATGAGATTAATTTCTACTTATTGTTTAAGAAATAATAGATAGAAACGAATGATATTTGTGATAATGATATACAATTAGAGTACAAGAAGTTTTGACGTTCCTATAAAATTTGGGGGAGGGAGAGAATTTTCTAAATTTTTCTTAGGTTTCATTGCAATACAGCGAATGTAGTAGAATAACTACGTAAAAATAACGAGTAATGGACTCAAGAGAATGGATAGAATCTTCAGAAATGTTAAGTGTCTCTAAGACATGATTTGAACGTGCAAACGTAGAAGACACTAATAATATAGTGCTCGTAGGAGGGAGTGGTTGAAAAACAATTTCTTAAATGGGATTAACTCAATGGAATAAGCACTTTTTGGCTCTTGTCGATGAAGTCTGGAACAATCAATGGCACGCACATTGACCTGGTATTCTTGTACACAGAAGAGTAGTGAACACGTCGATTTGATATTGCTAATACTGGGAAACATAAAGTAGATAATATGTAATTGTCCAAAAACCGTAACTTTTATCTACTTAATTTTTTATTGTTTTGTCATAATTTATGACCATAAACGATGCTCTATTTAGAAATAAAATTTATAGTTACATAATTTATTTTAATATCTAATTAATTTACAAATGAGTTGTCGCTGAATGGTTCTTCACTCAAAAGAAAAATATATTAATTTTTTTAAATAAATATAAATAAGATTTCAATTTATTTTATAATTACATTTTGAAAATGCTTTCGATATCTTTATAATATACATTGATTTACGAAGATACTTCGTTTTAACACTTCCTTGAAAATAGTATTTCCAAATTTAACGATAGAGAGGTAATATCTATATATATAGTATTATGGTAGAACTGTATAACCAATTGGCTATTGTGGAATAACCGAATAATGTACGTGAAGATACTTTTAAGTATAGACTGATCAAAAAATGCACATAATGTAAAATTTTAATGTTAAAAATAAAATAAAAATACAGAACTGTTATCTATGACATAGATTAGATGGATCTCGTATAAATTTTAAATATATTTAAATTCAGTTTAATTTAATATATTATGGGTATAACAGAATATTTTATTTTTTTTTAAATATTTACTGTGAAATTTTTATTAAATACTTTTGATATAAAATAAAATTGTAAGTTCAAAGAATATATCTGTCCTACATCATAGTTAGTATAATATTTAATATATTTTATATAATGTATTAAAACATTTTTAAATGTTTTAAATTATTATATTTATAATTTGGCGATGCGTTTACAACTTAACTGAATAAAATACTACTATGTAAATAATATTTTATTTTGTATCACTTTATATTTTAATTCATGTTTTATAATTTAAAGTTAGTGGAAATATGAATTATTACTTTTTTTTCTATTTCTATATTAAAATTTATATTTAATTATTAATGTATCGATTACATTGGAATATAATACTTAAAGGTATGCCATAACCTGAATGCAATATCAAGCATATATTCTTAATAACAATTTTATTCGTTTGTATTGCTCAACAATTAATAATTATAATAATTAGTTGTTATTTTTATTGAAAAAAAAAAAAAATTGGAAAGCTGAACTTTAAAAATTTGATCTTATTAATATTGAATTATGAATGAAATTCAATAATACCCAAAATCATTAATTGTATCCAGTTATAGAGTAAAATATCCAACACGTAAGTGAATATATTATTTCTAATCTTTAAAAAAATAACTTATTGTTAATTTTTTTATTTTAAGTATTTAAAATATTTTTTATTACACGAATCGTTAAAATGTCTAAATAGAACAATAATTTAATTTTATGAGAAAGAAAAAAGACGTGCTTCACAAAATGCAGAAGTCTACCAGTGGAGGAAATCCAAAGTTATTATTCAGAATCGGTAATAAACAACTATTTGTCAACATTACTTTCATGTATATAATATATAGATAAAATTGGATATTGGAAAAATATCCCTTATGTATGAAAATGATATATGTTTCATCGTATTTATTTTTAACTTCATATTTAGCCAATTTTTTTATCAATGTCATCAAAACTACGATGTACTTATAATAATTTAATTAATTACATGCAAAATCACCCTTGCTATATATTAAATATTAAGATATTTTTTAGCTGGATTTTATGCATATCCTCAGGAGAGAATTAAATTATTATTAATTAGACAATTTATATTTTAGTTTATTCAATGTAATCTGCAAGGTAAAATATAAGTAATTTATTAATTAATGACACATTTTTTGTACTAATTGTTGATTACAATACAATAATGTTGAAAGTAATATTTGTATAAAATAAAAGTGCAAGTAAATATTCTGTAACGTTGAATTTGTAGGAATTTAATTCTTAAATAATTATTTCAACATCATTAATTATAAATTAATACCAGTGGTATTTAAATATAATTTTTTATTTATATATACTTATTATGCATATGTATATAATATAACAAATTCGGCGAAATCGTTCTGCTTTATATTATCAGTGTCAGTGTACCTTGTGATTGAGTAGGTCACAGTAATATATGTATTCGATTTGTTCTATGATAAATCGTTGAGTTCAAAAAACGACTATGAGCTGTCAGTGAGACTAAATGTGTGAGAATATTTTACTATAAATTTATACAGATAAAACTATTTGTATTATTCTATTAGTGATATAGTAGGTTTAACTAATTTTTAAAAAAAAAAAATTATTTATAAATTGTAATAAAGTAATGATTAAAATTACATTACTATCTGTTTTTATGTCAATATCGTCATATCACGCTTAGACTGGTGTGAATGAGTTGGTGATATAAATAGCCTAAAATTAATCTAAAAATTTTAAAACAACATCACTACGTATTGTGTAGAATAAATAATAATATACGTAGTGGCGAAAAGTTTAAAGTTTTTACAAATAATAATTTTTAAATTACAACAAAATAACTAAACTAAGCGTTTTTCATTTATATATCTAAATTATTGAAATTTTAAGTTAAAATGTCAATAAAAATAATTGTGTAATTTTATTTCGGAGATTTTTAGATTTCTTTTCTGAGAGAAATTTTAATGAGAAAACTTTCATTACACTTTTAAGACCTAACTATAACAAAATAATATGAAATTAGTTATTTTAACGAATTTTGTCGTTTTGAACTTTAAATGCACATAAAAAGAAAAAACAGATAATCTTTCGTCTGAAATATAGATGTTAGTAAACCTTAATATTGACTTAGTGATTAAAATGTATTTTGTTAAATTTGAATTCAATAATATTTTATTGTACTTTGAAAACGATTCTAAGTGAAAACGGTCTGTAACTTTTATGGTATATATTTTATGATAAATTTAGAAAGTAATTAAAGTAATTTATTTTATTATGCGTGATTCGATGGTAGATTAATTTTTAGCAAAAATATCATATTTTTAAATGTTATTGTGTGTATAAAATATAATGATATGTATATTAAAAGTTTCAATATATTCTTGGTTTAAATATCTAATGTTGACCAAATTTTAACTGATTTTATCGAGAAAAAAAAATGTGTAAATATATTTTTTAGATTTTTTAAATACTGCATTGACTAAAAAGAAAAAATATATATTGTATCAAATTAACAATCTTTAGCTATAAAATATTATAAACATTTTTAATTTTAAAATAATTATCAAATTTTTGTAATTTTGAAAAATTTAAGAAAATTTGAATTTAAGTACTTATAAATAATATAACATGTATTTTTAATAATTTTGAGTTAGGTAATAATATCAAAAACTTATGAGAAACAATCTTGTGTTCTATTATTTTTTTAATCTTATTGATATATATATTTAAATGTGAATTTGTAAATACAAAAAAAAAAAATTACAAATTTTTGACGATGTTTCCAAAAATTGAATTTTAAATGCTTTTAAAAAAATATTGTAACATACAATATAAAGTATTTTCAATATTTTTCATCTTTAAATAAGTAACTTTCAAGGATTTTGACTAAACAAAAATCTTTTTATTAAATTTTTATAGAAAAAAAAAAAAAATTAAAAAAATAGAAAATTTTAAATGATTAAATATAGCTCAAAATGAATTGCAATTTTTTTTATTTTTTATAGAAAATGCTAATATATTGAAGTCATGATAATAAAATATTAACTAAAAAAAAAAATACATTATGTACAATTAGCACATTTATTTGTTTAGATTTTTTGGGTACATTTTTTGATAAGATTATTTTGAAAATTAATTAAAACTGTTCAATCCCTAAATAATACCAACTAGACAAAATGTGATAATGAAGATTACCCTTAATTTTTAAGACTGATGTATTTTTATTTTACATAAAGTGTACATAGACAAAAAAAAGCACTATTTACTAAAACCAATAAATATTAGTCTTTCATTAAGAACCTAATAACTAACATATCATATTATATTTTCTAAGATTTTAATAAGTAATACAATAATACCATTTATACAACTTAAAATAAAATACTGACCTTTTTCAGGTACTGGCTCTGTTGATTTTATTGGTAACCTGAGTTCCGAAGTTTTTCTGTACAATGTATTTATTAGAGCAGTACACTGTAGTAAAAGCTTACGGCCGTATTTGAAATGACTCTGATCTAATTTTAGAGTTACTGTTAATTTGATCAATTGCAAGGAATTTGAAATTGTGTACTTCAAAGCTTCTGGGCGATCAATCTAAAATCATTCAAAAACGATTCGTTTGTAATAATAGTCAATAATATACTTATTTATAATTTTTATAAATCGTATGCATTTTTAACTACAAAATATTATGCAGACGTTCTTGATTTTACGATTTTTGTCAATATTTGTACTTCAGATATATTTATTCATTATACTTTTTTAATTGTTTTAAATCCTTATTCGGACAACTTTTTAAGGGTATTTCTAATAAATTTTAAATATTTTTTAACCTACAAACTTGTGTAATGAAAATTTGTTATTACATATAATAGGTAAGTACTTAATATAATAGTTATTACCTACATATTCTATAAGTAACCATAAAAACATAATTTTGATCTCAGTTGTTAACATTTTAAATAAAGCATAGTAAAAGATAAAAATTATATTATAAGAAAAAAAGTATAAATATATAAATAAAAGTTTTTTTTTTATAGGCGTTGAAAATTAAAACTGTTTTGTTTCTATACTTAATAAATAATCAGAAGAGTCGAAAAAAAATAAATATAAACACAATTCATCATTAGATTATCCTTATAATGGTTTATATTATATTTATGTGCATATTAGCTTAATTCAAAGACTTAATCAGAAAGCATACACTGGATAATATTATAATACATAGTAGGTAAGAAAATTTCTATATTATAATAAATGTACATAATCAAGTATAATTTTATAATAATTTAATTTTGTCGATTATATTATATCATAATCAAAATATAATAATAAACTATAAAAGAATATTTAATGTAAATTTTTTTTTTTTTTTTTTATATATGCTTGAATTGAGAACATTATTTATATTTTGAACATTACAGTACAGATGGTTTTCTCTTAAAATTTTATAACAAAATTCATAAATCATCTAACGATCAAAAAAATATTAATATTACTAGGTACTAAAAATAAACTAATTATTTTAGTGAAACGTATTTCTGAAAAATAATACTATATTTTAAAATATTAAATAAGTCAATAGAAAAATTTCCAAAAATATAAATCGAAGTAAGTACCGATTCAGTAATCTCTATAATTACGGAAATGTTTTAATTCTATAAAGCTATTTTTTTTTTTTTTTTTTTTTTACTTAATAACATGTGATATTAAAATAAATTATAATAATTTTAAATACAACGGCAGTTTAAAAATTTTAAGAATTTTAAAATGCCTTTAAATTTCAGCATAGTGCAAAAAATGCTACTTCCTATTGGCTATTACCTCGCTATCGTTCCAATTGCTTACTCTGCTACCGCTGGACTATAATCACTAAGGATGAAGTTCACACTTGTGAAAAGTTATCTCATTTGAGAAGGAGATAGTACACACTCTACTCTCCCTCCAAATTATAAGAAAAAAAATATAACAAATACTAATAAGGTTGTTTCAATTGATAAATAATGAAAAAAAATAGGCATTAATTGAAGTTATTAAAACTGATTATTAACATTATAATATAATAATGAGCCTATTTAAGGTTTATTAGCTTGGTTAATTAAGCTATATGTCGTAAAAAATCTGTTATACGCAATGATATCAACTATGAAGCTGCGTTTATATACGTATCAGCTACGCAGGCCTGGTTAAGGTCAGCGAGTTACCGAGAAAATATCGGTGATCTAGTTATTTTTTTAAGTGTGATTTTATTTTTTTATAACAGTGATAAATTTTCACTTACATAAATAGAAAACATAATTTAATCGAATTATTAAAGTATTTAGCTGTAATCAAACGTTAGAAATTCTAAAATTTATTAAGCCAATATGTCCTATCTGCCCTAGTCTATTTTGTCTATCTGGCACTGTAGCTATGTTTAAATTTTTGGTTTTATTAATTATAGACTTTATCATTAAATTTCAATAAAATACATTTTGAAAGTACAAATAGTCAAATTTAAGTCGTTTTAGGTTATTAGCATATAGTATTTTTACCATTAAATTAAGATGCTACCACATTCGTCTTATATCAATTTAATATACTAAAATATTAAAATAGCTGCATTGATTGAGTTAAAAAAAAAAAAAAAGTACGGCACAAATAATAATTTGAGATAAACTATAATCATTAAGTCCTGTAAGATTTAAATTATAACTGGCAACTACTTATTGCTTATTTTTTAATACTTTTTGAAGCCTATCAAATTTTGTAAAAAAATATTTCTTCCAATTTTCAAAATCTAAGAGCTGTCCATCTGTATGAAAAAATATAGCTAGTATTGATAATTATTATTATAATTTTTTTTTTTTATGTTTACTTAGAAAAAAAAACTAATTGGCAAAAACTAGTATAAAAAATGTCGCTTACGTATTGCTTAATATACTAATTCATTGTTCAACAAATTGTTTAATTTTTTTTTTCAAATAAAACTATAACAATTAAAAATTAAAAACATTATATAAATTTACATTTTTAAAGGTGTGCATAAGCACATAATATATTAATGTTGTTAGATACATAACTACATAAGTATTGGTGTCTTTTAAGAAAAAAAAGTTTAATTTTTTTAAAGTATGGACTTAATTGGTATTTTTTTTATTTTTATTTTTATTTGTATTGTTTTTTCTGATCCAAATATTATTATATTTGTTATATAATATGTAAGTTGCATATGGTACCTATATATAGTACATTTGTATCGACTCCATTGGTTATTAAAATGTTATCGGTTGCACCAACCGCCGCATATGGTTTGTCATTATAAAATCCATTTTTGTTTCACAATCTTTTTTTTTTTTTTTTTTGTACAAAATAATAAACGAGAATAATACAATTTAACGATCTAATTACAATTTTTTATCAACTATTATATAATTTTATCGTTATGGTACTTTTCATATTCTCTTTAACCGAGAGAAATAAATTGACATAAAATATTTTTTCTAAACCCTAAAAATAACGTTTTAATTTATTTATTTATTTATGGGTATGTATTTACTGACCTTAAGTACTTACAATAACATAATGAAATTTAATAGCGCATAAAATATGTTTACACATTTATTTTTAGCTAATTATATATAATATATCTTATTTTTATTTCAATAAATTATGCTTCAAGTTATTTGATACTTTAATATTATTTGTGAATATATTATGTAATACGGTGTATAGTAATAATAAATAGCATATTTAGCTGTTACTGCGTCTCGCTGAAATTTTCTGTTTGAAATGCACTACATGTAATATTTTATATAATGTTTAAGGTACCAGTCAAGATAATTTAATTATGACATACTGAATATCTGAATGTAATACTCTTATTTAAATTAACTCTTTGAGGATTTAAGTACTCGAGAAGTTAAAAAACCTAATTTTTTTTTTTACATTAGCAGTTTCATCATTATTATATAATTAATTGTCTAAAAACCCGCTAGAAATCAGTCATTTAACAATTGTTAAGTCATTCTTTAAAAAAACAAATGAAAAAAAAAAATGAACAAAATATATAAAATGTGGTACTATATTGTATGTATTTCAGTTTTAGTGCATCTCAGTTCACGGTCAAATGGAACCTCGTCTTGTGAACTAATTCGACTGAGATGGACAATCTAACTGTCTAAAATTCGATTAAGTACACGAAATTTTACGTCGTTCTTCAATATTCTTAAATTCTCTAATATCTGTAAAACAATTTCTAGGATTATCGTTTAAATCGGTTGAGTTCTTTTTTTAAGTATGCAAGCTACATACATACAAGTAGTGACCAATGGCAACCCTATATTATTTAAGTAACGGGGTATTAGATTTTATTTAATAAAAATAAATGTACATGTGAGCTACTTTATTGAAACATATAGGAATTGAAGTTATGAATATAAACTAAGTCTCAATGAATATGTACGCAAAATGTTATGTTAAAATATTTAATATCCAAGTTTATAAGTCTCGTCCAAACGTGTAACTATATTCAATTATATACATAAATGTTTATATAACATAAAAAATAAATAAATAAGGAATTAGTAATTTTGAAATATTAAATATTATTTAATCTATGTATGATTATTGGCGTTAAAATAGGAAATTAATTTAAATTAAGTATAATTATACTCAGATACATTAAGATAAAAATATTTTAAAAATTATATCTTTGCACATTTGAATCCAACTATTTTTTTGGGACTGTCAATCATTTGTTTACAATAGTTAAACTTTTTTTTTTATTCTTTTATTTAATTATAAATATTCTTAAGTTTTTTATTTAAAAAAAAGTAAAAGTAAAAATATCAAATCTACACTTGAAGATCTGAAAATAGTTAATATATAATTTATATTTATATCCTAAAGGTTTGTTATTTGAAAAATAAACCATTTAATATTATAAAGTTAAATGTGTTCCTAGCTATAAATATTTTATGAAAAAATATAATTTTACAGAATTTTATAGTTTAAATCTAGCGAACAAATAAATACAAAAGTCATTTACATAAAAGTTTATAGGTATATATATAGAAAAAAAAATAGTCTATATTTGCAATGCATAATATTGACCTAAAAATATAAATCAGAATAGTTAACTAAATAATATTAGTTTTTTATTAATCAATTATTTTTACAGTTAGTTTTAATTTATTCATTATATGAAATATTTATTTTCATTTTAAATTCAAAAATTAAAAAAAAAAAAAATAATAACAAAACATAACAGTTGTATAGATTGTTGTTGTATAATAATATGTTTACCGTTCGGATTTAATTGAAATTTTAATTTAAAAAAAAAAATATATATATATATATATATATATAATTTATTATTTTTTATTAAAGATTTTATGACCGTGTTAATAGTTCAAACGCTGCATATGGTATAGTTTATTTAAACTCGGTAATATGCTTACCACTTCCCTTTCCTTTATTCCTAATTTCACCCATTTCTATACTATACAAGATAAATACAACAACCGGCGCTAATCAAAAGCCAAAAATAGGATGTTATGTTAAGGTGGAGAATGGGAGCAGTGTATCTTCTATATAATTAAGTCATTAGTGAA